GACAGAAAGATCATCCGAGAACACAGTTTTCTTATTATTTGGTAGAACTCCAGGGTGAGCTGTACAAAGTGTATGGATAAAACCATATTCAAATATTCACTAGGCTTTTTATTTTAAAGAAGAGGAAAAGTGATGGCATCTGATATTATCTTATGTAACCACACTGTAGGAGCAAAAACTCCAGTATCGATGAGCATTGCGCTATATGAAAACGTATTTGAAAGAGACCAGGTTGTCACCATTTTTCATTCTATTAATGTCTGCTTTTTAGCGACTTCATTGAATATTAGAAACCTTTGCACAGAGTGATATCAGGTGGAAAATATGACTCTCCATTTAGAATTTAAAATGATCTTGACTCCAAAAGCGTCGATTATTCTCTATAGAATTTCCACAGAGTGACTCTAACAGCTTTTTAGCTGACTTTATTCCGTCTGGCTTTGAAAAACAAATGTAAATTAAAATCAGAATATAGGTACAGGAATTGGCTTTGTTAATGTTTTCACAGTCACTTTGTGGAGCCTGGCTCATCACTGTGGTTCCCCAGGGCACTGTACTTACTGTAATGTTAAGGCCCTGGGAGAAATTTAGAGTTTCTTTCATTAAGCTTCCTGCTCCTTCCTTCCCTCAGCTCCCCCGTCACTGTAGTTTCTGACGTTCAGGTCCTGGGAAAACTATACATAGACAAAGGCATGTAGGAATTGCCGACTGAGCTTTCCATTTGGCACTGTCTTGCCTGGCTTTTTTTCAACATTTTGTGAAAAATAAATGGGTCAATTAACTACATTTCTGTGAGTATTACAAATCCAGTTGCTTTTAATAGAAAAAAAAAGCTAACTGATCTTTTCAGGCTGTAATACAGACTCCTATTAAGATAATTTGTGTTGAAATGATCCATCAGCAAGATTTTGGTGACTGTTGGGGGGCGGGGTTAGATATCTGGGGAGATATCCTTCTCTCAGGAAGTGTCCAGTCTCAAGTGAGCAGTGAGAGAAATTTACGGTGAACTAAACAAGTGTAGATGAATAAAATTATCAGAAGATAATTAGACCCCGTCAAATGTTAGCATGCATCGTAATCCCTTGGAAGGCTTGTTAAAACACCGATGACTGGGTCCACCCCACTATTTTTGATTTAATAGCCCTAGGGTGGAGCCTGACAATTTGCGTTTCCAACAACTTCCCATTTAATGTTGAGGCTGCTGGTCTGGTGACCACTCCGATTACAGAGTCTGAGAATTTGCTATAATTAGCGATGGAGATCTGATAAAAAGAAACCTGCATTTATAGGGGACCAACATGTGGCAACACCAGTATGAGTCATGCAGGAAAAAGGGGATAGAACTTTTGCAAACCTTTTTCCTGTAAACACCTCTTTTTAAATTTTTTGCAATGTTTATTTATTTATTTTGAAAGAGAGAGATAAAGAGCGAGCAGGGGAGGGGCAGAGAGAAAGGGTGACACAATCTCAAGCAGGCTTCACACTGTCAGCACAGAGCCCGATGTGGGGCTCGAACCCAGGAACCGTGAGATCATGACCTGAACTGAAATCAAGAGTCGGACACTTGACCGACTGAGCCACCCAGGCGTCCCCTTTCCTGTAAACTTCTTGAGTTTGGTGTGAGCTCAATGAGTTTAAGTAGCATCATATCCATTTTATTGATGAGCAAAGAGAGGCTAAGGCAGACTAAGCGACTTATCTAAGGCTGCACAGCCAATACAGTGCAGACCTCCTGCTCCAACCTAACCTACTTGGTATTAGTACTATTTTTACACATATCTGTGCAGACGTGTGTTGGGATGAAGTGTTGGGAATAGTATAGAGTCCCGGAGGAGGTCAGGCTCCCAGGGAAATTTGAAAGTTGTAAATGATAGAAAGCAGTGTGAATGCATCGGGCAGCCATGGGCAAAGATGCATAAGAACGGAACATCGATGTATAGGAGAGGGCAAATAGGGATCTCCAACCACGGATGTAGCAAGAGCTGGAGGCTAGAGACAGATCAAAAGTAGCTAAGGAAGGGCCCTTAGAGCCAAACTGCTACCAGGGCTAGAGTGTCACACAGGAAGTGCCTAAAGCTTTCTTTTGTATACAACTGAAAAACCTATTCTTAGATTGGGGCCAATCTGGAAAAGAGTGCTGCTGATAAAAGCACAGGTAATTATACCAGTGTCCCCACCCCATTACTCTACTGGGGCTGATTGCCGAAGCTGCAAGAGGGAAGTTTAGGAAGAGGTCAAAGGAGGAAAAACCATGAAAATAAACAACTAAACCATTCGCAGGATAGTGAGTAAATAACAGCAAGCACCAAGAGTGTTCAGAATATTTTTCTGGAATTGATGGCCTATGGTTTCTAATAATTCACTGTAATTAGTGATGAAGTTCTGATACAAAGAAACCTCGTGTTACAGACGAAGGACCCATTTGGGGCCAAAGCAAAACGAACCTTGCAGGGAAGAATGAGCAGAACTCGTGCAAGGAGAGGAAAGGATCATCAAGGATTCCATCAAGGATTTCACCACCGTCTAGATGGAAGCAATGCCCTCACCCGAAGTCGCAATCTTCTGGCTAAAAAATGCAGCTAACATTTGATGGTGAATTCCTCTGAGAGGGCTTCCTAAGACGGTCCCTTAATTTGGTAGTTACATTTGTTGATAGACATGATGCCTCAAATTAAGGGACCGTGTTAGGAAGCCCTCTCAGAGGAAGATTTTTTTTTAAGCTACAATTCCTGAGTGCATGTTCTATGGTATGAATATTGATTCTCAACCATTGATTCCCAATTCATATGGGAGGGGGGACCCAAAATTATTTCTCAGAAAATTCAGGGCCTTCTCTGCATATTTGACCACCTCTATGTGCAGCTGAGTACTCGCCTGGCTTTGCATGAGTTCCACATTTTATATTTTTAACTTTTATATGTTTATTCCACCAGCAACACAGAATATCTGTACTCCAGGTATATTCAAGGAATATAACCTTGAATTCATTTTTTTTTAATTTTGAGAGAGAGAGATAGTGAGTGGGATAAGGGTAGAGAGAGAAGAAGAGAGAGAATCCCAAGCAGGCTCCGGGCTGTCGGCGCAGAGCCCTATGCAGGGCTCAAACTCACAAACCACAAGATTGTGACCTGAGCCAAAATCAAGAGTCGGATGCTTAACTGACTGAGCCCAAATCTTGATTTCATTTTTAACTAATATTATCAAAAAGCTCGTTCTACGAATGAAGGAAAATTAAGAGACATGCAAACTCCCACTTCTCTAAAAGATATAAAATTTACCCTTGGATTAACTTAGGTCTTCAGAGAGCCATACACCTGGACCGTGTAGTTTTTGCCTACCCCCTCTCTTCCCAAATCCTGTTTTTATTGAATCACAATTTGGCTTTATGTCATTGACTTATGTTGAGGGACATTCCAAGAAAATGCTCAATGAAAACTGGCTCTGTTGTATGTTGCTGAGGATGTTTGGATATTTTTCATTGTATTAAATATCTCTTCTTTATAAGATCGCATGAAAGGAATTTCTTTCTGGCCTCTGCTGTACTACCTCTGAAGTCATTTTTGTTTTTTGTTTTCTGGCCATATTGAATAACTTATTTCCCTTTTGAGTTGATCATGAGAAAGCTTAGAGCCAAGTTCATGACTCCCATCTTATGAGTGCACAGGTCTTGTATTTACACTGGACATTTTCCTCCTAACCTCACATCTGGGTTCAATTTGTTTTTCGTATGTACATTATCCCCAACTTCATCATTTTCTCACTTGCTTTTATGTATATGTGTACATATATATTATATAAATTTTATATGTAAGACATACTACAGCTATTATTGTATATTTTGTATGTGTGTGTGTGTGTGTGTGTGTTTGTGTGTGTGTAATTTTTTATCTGCCTAATGTTTATTTCTAGCTGTGAGTTCACGGCTGTTTTCTGCCTCCTCCATCCTCATAAATTCATCTTCAAGAATGAAGAGTGCTGGAATGGGTCAAGGTAGAAGGCACCACTGTGACCTTAGAATTACATTCTATGGATTCTTTTTGTGTTCTGGCTTCTTTGACATAGCATAATTATATTAAGATTCATCCCTGATGTTGTATGTATCATTAATTTGTTTCTTTTTATTACTGAATGGCATTGCATTGTATGAATATACATACCCCAATTTGTTTAACCATTCACCTGGTAAGTGGACATCTGGCTTGTTTCTGGTTTTGGGCTATTACCAATAAAGTTTCTATGAACATGTACTTACAAGTCCTAGTGTGAAAGAATGTATGCTTTCACTGCTCTTGGGTAATTATTAATGGAGCCACTCCAGTGTTCTTTTGGGTAGTGTTAGTATGGTATATATTTTCCCACCACTTTACTTTTAACCTTTGTGTGTCTTTATATTTAAGTGAGTTTTTTGTAGGTAGAATACGGTGGGCACCTGGGGGGCTCAGTTGGTTAAGCACGTGACTTCGGCTCAGGTCATGATCTCACGGTTTATGAGTTTGAGCCCCGCATCGGGACCTGTGCTGACAGTGAGGAGACAGCTTTGCATCCTCTGTCCCCCACTCCCTCTGCCGCTCCCCTCTGTGTGTGCACAAGTTCTCTCTGTCTCTCATAAAATAAAATAAAATAAAATAAAATTAAATTAAATTAAATTAAATTAAATTAAATTAAAATTTAAAAAAAGAATGCAGGGGCGCCTGGGTGGCGCAGTCGGTTGAGCGTCCGACTTCAGCCAGGTCACGATCTCGCGGTCCGTGAGTTCGAGCCCCGCGTCGGGCTCTGGGCTGATGGCTCGGAGCCTGGAGCCTGTTTCCGATGCTGTGTCTCCCTCTCCCTCTGCCCCTCCCCCGTTCATGCTCTGTCTCTCTCTGTCCCAAAAATAAATAAACGTTGAAAAAAAAATTAAAAAAAAAAATAAAAAAAAAATAAAAATAAAAATAAAAAAAGAATGCAGTGGGATCTTACTTTTTATCCAATCTGACAACCTGTGCCTTTTAACAGGGTGTTTAGATTATTTACACTCAATGTGATTGTTAATGTACTCTGATTTACATTTACTATCTTACTATTTGCTATTTGTCTCATATGCTCTTTGTTCTTCTTTTTCTGCTTTCGTTTAGATTGATTAAAACATTTTTTTAAAAATTTAAGTGTAGTTGACACACAACATTGTATTAGTTGCAGGTATACAGCATAGTGATACAACAAGTTTAGATGTCATGCTGTGCTCACCATAAGTGTAGCCGCCATCTGTCACCATACAGCGTTATTATGATATCGTCGACTATATTCCCTCTGCTGCAACTTTCATCTCCGTGACTTATTTATTCCTTAACTGGAAGCCTGCACCTCCCACTCACCTTCACCCATTTTGCCCATCCCCTCGCCCTCTCTCCTCTGGCAAATACCAGCTTGCTCTCTGTACGTATGGGTCTGTTTCTGCCTTTGTTTACTTGTCTGTTCAGTTGTTTTGCTCTTTTAGATTCCACTATACGTGAAATCACATGGTATTGGTCTTTAGCTGACTTATTTCACTTAGCATAATAGACTTTAGGTCCCAGATTGATTTTTTTTTAATTTTTTAATGTTTATTTTATTTTTGAAAGAGAGAGAGGCAGAGCATGAATGGGGGAGGCGCAGAGAGAGAGGGAGACACAGAATTTGAAGCAGGATCCAGGCTTCGAGCTGTCAGCACAGAGCCCGATGCGGGGCTCGACCCCACAAACTGTGAGATCATGACCTGAGCTGAAGTCGGACGCTTAACCGACTGAGCCACCCAGGCGCCCCTGATTATTTTTTTATAATTTGACTTCAATTCCTTTGTTGGTTTATTAGCTGTAACGATTTGCTTTGCTCTCTTAGTGGTTTAATGTATAGTGTACATTTTAAATTTGTCACAGTCTACCTTCATTTGATATTATGCTACTTTGCATAAAGTACGAGTATCTTAAACAGTAAATTTCCATTTCTCCCCTTCTGGGCTTTGTGCTTCTGTGGCTGTACTCTTTACTTCTACCTGTGTTAGAAACCCCATTACATTATTCTACGTTATCTTTACCTTTGTCTAAGCAGTGAGTTGTCTTTCGAAAAGATTTAAATAACAAAAATATCTCATCTATTTACCCAAGTGGCTCTCACTCTGGCATCCCTCGTTCCTTTGTGTAGATCTAGATTTTTCATCTATATGATTTTCTTTTTGGCTGCTCAACTTCCTTCCTTAACATTTCCTGTAATAGAAGTCTTCTGGTGATGACGTCTTTCAGCAGTTTTAGGTCTGGAAAGGTCTTTATCTTACCTTCATTTCTGAATGCTATTTTTTGCTGAGTAGAGAATTCTAGGTTGACAGTTTACTTCTTTCAATACTTTAAAGATGTCGATCTGCTGTCCTTTTGCATTATTTCTGACAAGAAATCTGCTGTCATCTCTATCTTTGTTCCTTTGTAGGTAATGTATCTTTTTTTTTTTTTTTCTTCTTTTTCCTCTGACTGCTTTTAAGATTTTCTCTTTGTGGCTGGTTTTGAGAATCGGATGATGGCGTGCCTTTGTGTGGTTTTCTTCATGGTTTTTTTGTGCTTGAGGTTCATTGATCTTCTTGGAAGTCTAGGATTTTAGCTTTTACCAAATTTGGAAATTTGAGGGCCATTATTTCTTCAAATATTTCTGTCTAGCAGCATCTCTGTTTTCTCTCCTATAAGTATATGAATTGTATGCACATTAGGTGTGTGAAGTTGTCCTACAGCTCCCGAGCGATCTGTTCATTTTGTTTTCTTTTTCTTTTCTGTGTTTGAGTGTCTGTGTTACAGGTAGTTTCTTATACCATGTCTTTAGGTTCACTGTTCATTTATTCCGCAACTTCAAATCTGCCATTCACACCATTCCGTATTTTTTGCATATCACATGTTGAGGACTTTATCTGTATAATTTTGATTTAGGTCTTCATTTTTTTTTTAGTGTTTATTTATTTTTGGGGGGGGGAGGGGCAGAGAGAGAGGGAGACACCGAATCTGATGCAGGCTCCAGTCTATGAGCTGTCAGCACAGGGCCTGACACGGGGCTTGAACTCACAACTGTGAGATCATGACCTGAGCTGAAGTTGGACGCTCAACCGACTGAGCCACCCAGGTGCCCTGGTCTTAATTTTTTTAAAAACATCTTCAATGACTCCACCTAACATGTTCAATCTTTCCTGTGGTTTTTAAAAAACATATGAAATAGAGTTGTAGCAATTGTTTTAATGTCATTGTCTGCCATATCTGTGCCCCTTCTGGGTTTTAGTTGATTTATCATTCTTTTCATTAGGAGTTCTTTTTTCCTGTTTCCTTACTTGCCTGGTAATCTTTAGTAGGATGTCAGATATTGTGAATTTCACCTTGTTGGATGCTGGGTATTTTTGTATTACTAAAAATATTCTATCTTGCTGTGGGATGAAGTTACTTGAAAATGGTTTAATCCTTTTGGGTCTTGCTTTTAAGACCTGTATGTCAAGAATGGAGCAGTATTTACCCGAAGACTAATTATTCTCCACTACTGAGGAAAAATTCCTCTAATGACTTTACTTAATACTCCATGAATTATGAAGATTACCAGTCCAGCTGGTGAGAACAAGCACTGTAAATGGTCCTGTGCAATCACTAAGTGCTATTCCCTCTAGTCCTTTTGGGTGGTTTTCCCTTGGCTTTGGGTAGTTTCCTCACATGCACATGCAGTTGGGTACTCTACTAAATACTTGAGAGGGACCCTCTATAAATCTGCGAAGTTTCTCCTTGTGTAGCTCTCTTCTCTCCATCGCAATGTCTTGTTAAGTCTATTACTTCTCCAAAGCCTCCAAAGCCTATGTGTTATGAACACATAACAATATGTGTTCAATTCAAGGAATTTGATGCATACCGTCTGGGTTTGCCTTCAATCCACTGCGGCCTAGAAAGTCTCTCAAAGCTTTAAGCTGGGGCGATAGTAGGTTTCTGTCTCTCAGGGTCATATCCTTTATAGCCTGACATCCTATGACTTAAAATCTACTCTTTCATTTGTTTTGTCTAGTATTTTACTTATAATCAGATAGGTGGTAAATCTAGTCCCTGTTGCTGCATCTTGGTTAGAAAAAGCTCCTAGTCATCCTTTCCTTGGCTTTAGGTTTCTGCTCTCTTTTGAAACAACTCTGATGATTCTTCTTCCTCAAGTGCATGGATGGTCAGCACAGGCTATCTCTGCTCTGGTCTCTGGAGGGAATAGGTATTTCCCTTTCTATCCTTTGCCTTGGATTAATCCTTCCTCAACTCTACTTACCGTCAACCAGAAAGATGCTGTGGCTCAAGACTGGCGAGCATACCTGGGAGCAAGGGGTCCTGAAGGCCACTCAGTCGCCTCTAAAATGTGGCCTTCACACAGAAGCACAAAGGCCAGCTCTGTGTTTCAACGTAGCTCAGGAAGGATCGGGGTCCTCACACAGATCTGCCTCTCATGACCCCAGTAGTTGGTTGAGGATTTGGATATTCAGAATTGTGGTCTTGTGTCTTTTCATCTTCTAAGGCTAGTATGGTCAATCCATTTTGGAATAAAGTAGAAAGAAAGGAAGAAAAAATCTGCACTTAAATGCCAAAATTATACTTCGAATTCCTTAAACCTTGTTGTGTGTGATTCTGTTAATGGCATACAGTTCTCTTCCCTGGTTTTATTCCATTTTTTCTCAATCAATCTTTATTATTTTTAGAGTTTTAATTAAAAATCCCCTCAATATCTGCTTCTATGTAAGTACTTGAACTTGGAGGGTCCAGATGATAAATTATAGTTCGAATGAACAGAATATCCAGACAAGGTAAGCAGCCCTTGGATACAAGTGACTGGGGCTAGAAACATTTCTTTCTGCACATGTCATAATCCACACTAGTAAATCTGCATGTGCAGATATTTGTCATGGAAGTTGAGCCTTGAAAAATTTAACAAATATCAAAATTTTATACTTAAAATTCTAGACTTGCTCGTGGGAGTAATTAGCCTTTATCCAGACAGAGATTATCAAGCAATTTTTCTTCATATACTTACTCTTATCATTTACGGCAAGAATATTTTACTGTATTGGAAAATGTCCTAATGGGAAGAAGGTTAACTTTTTTATGAGACTATGACCTTCGGGTCAAATAACTCAGAATATTCAGTCTTCCTTTCAAAAATAGGTAACGACTAAAAATCAGCTGAGAAAAAGATTCCTTAGGAAACAGACTGACAATAGATATCCAAATTCTTGGTTTGAATCACTGGAAGGAAGTGACTGAAAATCCGTCTGCCCCCATCCCCTCTCCTTGGCAACAGAGAAAATCTATTTGTTAACATTCCTGCCAAAGAGTAAATTTTTCATTCATTAAACAAATATTTTATGAGCACCTACGAATTATCATGTATCATGAACCAAAAGGAGAAGGGGCAAAGCGAATGAGCATAAGCTTTGCCTCAAGACACACTCAAGTTGAGGGGCATCACAGTTATTCACATGACATATCCACTATGCCTCATGTTTCTCCTTTGTTGTCCTTGGTAAAAGGCACCAAAGGGAAGGAGGAAGGTACAGCTTTTATGATCAGAACTCTGTTAATTAAGATGGATTTGTGTGCCTTTTGTGCTGTATTGCATTTGTCCCTTTCTACTAATTAACAGTCTCCAGAGATAGGATGTGTCTAAGATTACTTTTCCAGTCCTTCCTTTTTTTTCCCTCTCCCCACTGGAACCATTAGATAGGAGATTCCACGAACGATACCAGGCAACTGTTTCATAAGTTTCAATGATTCGAGCTCCTATTAGTCTCCATTATATCAGGTGTCAACCTAAAATTGTCAGGAGGCAGGGTGCCTGGGTGGCTCAGACGATTGGCATCTGACTTTGGCTCAGGTCATAATCTCACGGTTCATGGGTTCAAGCCCCGTGTCGGGCTCCGTGCTGACAGCTCAGAGCCTGGAGCCTGCTTTGGATTCTGTGTCTCCCTCTCTCCCCCCACCCCCAACTCGCGCTCTGTCTCTCTCTGTCTCAAAAATAAATAAGCATTAAAAATTTCTTTTTAATTGTCAGGAGGCAATAACTAAATAAAAAGGCTTATTTGTGGTCAAAGAATTGCAATTTGGGGTACACAGATTTGGGTAGCCACCCATATAGTATCCCACTAGGGGGCAAAAGTCAGGGGTTTTTGAGCAAAAAGGGAATAGTTGTATACATTGTTTATAAAGAATGTTTGATAGGTGTTGACAGCAGAACGCTAATCTTGACTGAGTATAATTGGTTGCTAAGGCTATCACCAAGCAAAGTCTGTTACTGTAGCAAGTTGCAGGTGTTTGTGTGGGGGGGGGGGCGGTAGGGAGGGATCCTTGGAATATTTGAGATTTGGCCCAGTTCAAAAGTTCATG